GTTAAAGGTCATCGTCCACCGAGCTGCCAGTGACGTCAGCGGGGCCTGGCCAGCCCTCGGGGACCGTGCCATGCGGGTGCCGGTGGGCTCGCCCCTCCTCCCGCCAGGAGGAGGACCCGCCCGTCAGCAGAACACGCCCGGGGCACTGCGGCTGTGGGCCGAGTCTCAGAGCTGGGGTCGCCGCGCAGAGGGCACCGAGCGTGGGCGTTGGAAGGCTGTCGTGGGGAGGAGCGTGGCTCCCAACCGCGGGGAGCTCTGCGGCGGCGGAGGTCTGGGCGGGAGCAGACACGGCCTGATGGGATGGGGCGGGCAGACGGGACTCGGGGACCCTGGGACCGGGGCGTCCGGGGATGGTCCAGGGCGAGGAGAGGCCCAGCCCGGCAAGGTGACGGGTCCGGCCCCATCGCTGCTTGCTCAGGGCCTGGGGCGCCTCGCGGGGAGCTGCTGGGAGGCACCCGAGCGGCTCCTCTGCGGTCGTGACCGTGCGCAGAGCAACGCAGACCCCAGGCCCCAGGCCAGCGGGCCGCCTGCCCCGCTGCTCGTGTCTCGGTGGCCCGTGCGTGCTCTGAAGCCTTGGGCCGGCGGTGCGGCCAGCACCTGACAGGCTCGCGGGCACGCGCCCACACACAGTGGGCATCTGCTGGCCGGATGCAGGACGCGGGGAGGAAAGAGCTCGCACCACCTGTGCACGAAGGAGAGAAGCCGGGGCTCCGCCGTGCGGCTCAAGTCCACGGTCATGGTCCACCCAGCCCTGAACCCACCCCTCCCTCCCGGTCCTGGAGGCCGGACGTCGAGGCCAGCATGTCACAGGGCTGGTTCCTCCCGAGGCCCCCCGCCCCGGCGTGGAGATGGCCACCTGCTCCCCGTGTCCTCGCGTGGCTGCCAGCTGTGCGTCGGAGTCCCGGTCTCCTCCTCCTGCTAACGGACGCCGGTCAGACTGGACGCTCCACTGGCCTCGTCGTACGCTCACCCCTCTGAGCAGGCCTGTCCCCGCCCCCACCACGTTGTGCGGTCCTGGGGGTCAGGACCCCGGCACGAGGGTGTTGGGGGACACAGCTCCGCCCCTTACAGCTGCTGGTCGGTGCCCCAAGCCAGGCGTGGCTGCAGATGCAGGGGGGCACCCGAGCGAGGTGCCCAGGGTGTGTGGGGAGGTGGTGTTGGATGGGGCTCCTGGCGGGTGAGCCCCCCGCTGCCCCCCACGTGGCCGCTCGAGCCCAGAGCTCCAGGGGCCCCTGTGGGTGTGGGTACATGCGATCTGCTGGCCGGGGCTCTGTGCAGCCGAGTCGACCCGGTTCCGGCGGGGTCCTCGGAGCTGGCAGGCTGGCTCCACCCCCTGACTCCCCTCCGAAGGCCGGGCCTGGGGTGCAGCCGGGTGTGCGAACGCCCCGCCCCAGCCCGCCAAGCGGAGGGGCTTAGTGAGGGCAGGAGCCCACCTTCCCGGGGCGGGTGCCCTCCGGGCCCAGCACGCGGTTCTGTCCGAGCCCTGCCGGTGGGGGGTTGGGGGCTGTGGGCACGGGACGTGTCTGTGGGTGCGTGGCGGCAGGGTCTCCTGTCCCGAACAGCTTCGTCCTTCTCTTCTTGGGTGGGAAAGCAGCACAGCTGTCCGGTGGGCCGTCGGGAGGGACCCTGCGTGTCGGCGAGGACGGTGCGCAAGGCTGAGACCCCCCCTCCGCCGGGCCCTTGTCTGTGGCCTCGGTGGGGGACTGAAGCTCCCCACTGTCCCAGCCCTGCGGCAGAGCCCCCCCAGCCCCGGCCCCAGGACACAGGTCCGCAGCCCGAGGGCGGACCCTGAGCTCCCTTCCTGCAGGCTGTGTGGGGCGACCCGGGTCTCTGGGGCCCGGCGCTGGCGCCGTGCGGGAACTGTGTGCGGGCGCCGCTCACCCTTCGGTGTTCTGGGGTTCGGAGCCCAACGGGAAGAGGGCAGCCGCGGCCTCGGGGACCGGATTCTGACCGGCGTCACTGACCCAGCTGGTTCTGCCAATTAGACACACGCACAGGATAAAGGAATCAGAAGGAAATACGTTTGCTCGTGATTCAATTGCTGTTATTATTATTAATATTATGAAACGCTGCTGAGTCACTCATTCATTTTGTGAAATGCAGCAAGTCAGATGATTGTATCTTTCCTTTTATTTCCTCAGGATGAAAGTCGGATGTTGCCGTTCAGGGTTTGCATTATGGAAAATAACACGATAATTAATAAATAGCAGCACAAGGATAAACTCCGTGCACTCACGGCTGCAAACCCGGACTCTCGGCTGCCGCGGAGAGCTCACGCTCTCTGGGGCAGACAGGGGGCCGGCTCACGCGCTCCCCCCTCCACCTGTGACGCTCTTCTCGGCGACGCGGACGGCAGCCCCCCTCGGTGACGGCCGCTGCTGCCGTGACGGGGGCCTCATCTGGGGTCCCGGGCTTCTGCGGGCTCGCACCAGCACCGACCCGCATGGGCCCGGGACGGCGCGGCCCCTCGGTGTGACCCGTCCCCCAACCCCACCCGCGTCCCAGGGCCCGGCCAGCGGTGGGTGGGGACTCGGCTGCGTCCAGACTGTGGGCTCCCAGGGCCCATTCTGCAGAGCCGGGGTGCGGACCTTCCCGGGAGAGGGGACCGAGGCGCCCCAGACGGCCAGGTGAGCACTCGTGCCTTTGGGGCGGGAGGGGAGGCTGGCGTGTCCCTGGGCGCCGCCGAGGGTCACGTGTCCCAAGGGACCACGCGGACGGGGGCCCAGGCTCGTCAGCATCTCGGACCCAGAAACTCGCCCCCGGCCCCGTTTCTTGCTGCCTGTTCAAGCAGCTCTTTGGGGAATGATTTTTGGTGCAAGGAACAAAAAGTAAGAAAATAATGACATATCCATGTCATTGCTCACACACTTCCTTTGACCCCGGGACACAAAGTCATCAGGCCCTGGCCTTTGCCAAGGCCATCTTTATGGCAAGAACATGCTTCCAGAAAGTTCTTTCAGAACTCCTGGGGAGCCGAGAGGGCTGGGGGCAGGGGAGGGGAGGGAAGGGTGATGGTGGGGGGGTCGTCCTGCCCCTGCCCCCCCCCCAGCCCGCAGCCCTGGGTCGGCTGCTTCCCCTCCGCTGAACTGGTGTGAGACTTTTGTTTTCAGAGTTGAGGTATTTTTGGATGGTAAGAATGGAAAAAATGTGCTCTCCCTCCTCCAGATAATTGCCGTGTGCCGTGTTTTTGTTTGAATTCTTGGAAACGCACAGTTGCGGCCTGTGAGGTGGGAGGCCTGGCACCCAAAGCTCCTGCCCACTCTGGGGAGGGGGGGCATCTGCGCTTGGGAAATTTGGGGGGGCCACCGCACGGGCTGGCGTCCAGGGTGCTTTCCCCCTTCTGGGCCCACGCGGGGCGTGAGGACAGCACCGTGAGCACGGGCGTCCAAGATGCCGCGGTCCCAGAGATGAGGGTGTGGGCCCCCCACCCCGGCCGGCCCGGCAGGGGATGGCAGGGCGGGGGGACCCGCTGCGGGGGGCAAGAGAACGGAGGGTGGGGATCCTAGGGGAGGCTGCTCAGCTTTCGAGCTGCGAGGTCTTGGGCAGACTCGTCAGTCTAGCACCTGGTGAAGCTCAAGTGCGCTGGGTCCTCCAGCCCAGGAGGACCCAGCCCCCGTGACGGGCTCCGCCACGCCGGACGGGCCAGCACTGTGGGCTCGGGGTCTGCAGGTCCCCGCCTAGTTCGAGGGGCGTTGCACCACAGAGACAAGTCGGCTCCGTCGTGTGGGGCCTGTGGGTGGCGCAGGGCGGGCCACGGAGGGCCCGGGCGCTTGCTGGCCGGATGGCCCTCGGCCCTGGTGCCCTGCTGCTGCCCAGGCAGGGGGCTTCGGGCGAGTTACCTAGGGCTTTAAGTGTCTCCCTGCCAATAAAGAGGGGACCGAAAAGGCGCCAGCCTCGCCCCCACTGTGGGGTCAGCCGGCTGAGGCTCCCGACCCCCTCCCTGGGACTTCCTGCCTCCTTGGTGGCCTCCTGGGCAAGCGGTCTGTCTGCGGCCCAGCCTGCGGCCTGGGGCTCCGGAAGCCTTCGCCTCAGGGAATGACCGACCAGCCCAGGCGGGGGAGGAGCCAGCAATCACGCTGCCCCCGCGCTGGCATCCCCAAAGGGGCCTTGCAGGGCCGAGTGGGAGCGGGAGGGCCTGGGCCCCCCCTCTCTGGGAGGACCCCGGGGCCTGTGTGGGCGCGTCCTTCGGCCGGGGCTCGCCGGCTCCGGTTCTCCGCTGCTCCTGACAGTCCCCGCACGGGCAGCGCCCACAGGGCTGGCCCCCAGGGCAGGGGTGGGCTGGGTGCTGCTCCCCTGCACGGGGGCCATTCGTGGCCGAACACTCCAGGCCCCCAGCCTCCTTCGGCGGGGGGGGGGGGCGGTGCTCTGAGGGCGCCCTGTCCAGGCGGCAGCCACAGTCCCGGCTCCGGTCTGCAGGGGGTGGGCACCGTGCTTTCCTGCAGACCCCCTCCTCGTGACCCCGGGGGTCCTTGGGGCTCCGGGCGACCACAGGTGTCCGCAAAGCTGCTCCTTGAGTAGGAGTAAGAGCACATCTCCTTCTGTGGGGCGTCTTGGAGAGTGGGCCGCGCTCCGCACAGATTTCGGGAGTGGGGAAACCGAGGCTGAGGTGGGGGGGGCCTCTGGATCTCAGAGACGGGGCATCCCCCCACCCGGGAGCTCCCTCCCCGTCCGCTCCCAGCCTGCATTCTGCTCACTCCACGGCATCGTCGTGCGACCTCCAAAGTCCTGCCCTGCCTCCCTCCCTCCACCCGTGGGACACTGGGGCGGGGGTGGTCCCCAGCATCTTGGGTTCTCCTGGTCCCTGCTGAATCACTTGGGGTGTGGAAGGCCCTGACGAGACTGGAAGCAGCAGGCGGGCAGGGAGGTTCACTCCCTGAGAGCGCAAGCAGTTCGGGGAAAGAAAGGAGGCAGGCCGCGAGGAGGGAGGGAGGAAGGAAGGGAGGAAGGGAGGAAGGAGGGAGGGAAGGAGGGAGGGCTGTTGTGCAGGAACCAGGCCGGGCCCGCCCACCCGGACGCGCCCGGCGAACACCTGGAGGCCGGCTGCTCCGTGGGTCTGATAGTCCCCCGTCCACCTGGCCACCGCCGGGAGGCCCCAGGGGCCCACGGGGCCTCGGCCCGCCCGAAACGGCCGCATTGTTAGGGCGGCGAGGCCAGGTGACCGGCCGGCCCGGCGCGGGCGGCGCGATTGCCCTTCGCCGCCTCGAGGGGGCCCTGCGGCGGCCGCGAGCCAGGAGGACGGCCCGCCCGCGCGCTGCTCGGCGCCCAGCCTGCTGCGCCATCGCCCCGCGGGACCGCGCCGCCGCTCGCCCAGGTACAGGGGGGCCCCCGCGCCGCCGCCGCCGCCTTTGTTTCGGGTCCCGCGCCGGCGTCCGCGCCTCTGGTGCGGAGAGCGCGATCCGGGAGGGCGATCGCGGCGCCCGGGAACCGGGCTCGGCCGGGGTTCGGAGCCGGGGGTGCGGGGACAGAGTCCGGGTGCGCGGGAAGCGGGATCCCGGCGCGCAGGAACTTTGCTTGGCCGGGGTTGGGCTCGGGGGCGCCGGCCGGAGCAGCCAGGGGAGGAGACCCGGGGACGCGGTCCGGGTCTCGGGCGCAGGCCGGAGCCGCACTGTCGCGAGCGCCGGGGCGGACTTCACTCTCCGGGACGCCCCCGAGACTGCAGGGCGCGAGCGGAGCGGGGGCCGGCCCGGGAGCGCTGGGCACCCTCTTCCGCCTGGGCCGGCAGCCCCCGCGGAGCGCCCGTCCGCCCCTTTCCCTGCGGTGGGCGTGAGGCCGCGTCCCGGCAGCTGCCCGCCTTCCTCCGGGGCCGCGGGAGGGGGCGGGGGCGGGGGCGGCCGGGCCACCTGTGGCATGTGCCCGCCCGCGCGGCTGACAAGCGGGCGGAGGGGACGCGGGTCCCGCGCACCCGCGCGGACCCCTGAGCCGGCTCCTCTGCTGGGAGCGACCTGAAAGTCTGTGTGTGCGCGTGCGTGTGGCGGGGAGGACGGAGAGCCCCCTGCGTTCCCGAGCCAGGGCAAGCGGGCGACCCCCACTCTCTTACTTGGGGGAACGGAAAAGTGGGGGGGGGCGGGGGGACACCCGGAACACCTCGGAGGGCGTGGCTCCCGCCGGAGGAGCCCCCCGACCCCTGCAGGGTGCCCGAGCCCGCGCCGGCTTTGACCTTCCGGCAGAGCTTCGCCGTGTTTGTGGCTCCCTGTAACACGGAGGCACGTCCGCCCCCAGGACTGGAAACGAACTGAGCCGCGCGCGGCAGAGAGAGGCAGAGCGAGCGCAGCGGCGCGGCCCGCCCTCCAGAACCGACCTCTGTGCCACTCGGGCGCACTTCCCCGGGCAGGCTCCACGCAGTCTGTGCAGAGTCTTCCTCTCCCGGCCGCCGCGGCTTCTGCCTTGGGAAGCAGATTTGCTTCGCCTCGCGGTTTCCCTTCCCTCTTCGGGCCCTGGGAGGGCGGGTTTGCAGATCAATCAGCGAGCGCCGAGAGAGGCATTTCTGTGAGGGGCCTGCTGGGCTGGGCGGGTCGGACCCCTTGGCGCTGGGCTGGCCGGCACGGGCAGGTGGCCAGACCCCTGACCCCCAAGACGAGTCCCGGCGGCCTTGCTCGGTGGCAGACACAAACGGGGAGCCTGGAGCGACCCCTGCTTGTGGGGGTGGGTCTGGCCCAGCCTCTGCCTGCGCGTTCGTTTCACCCGAATAACAACCACCCTGGGGGGGGGTGCAGTTCGGGCTAAGACCCATTTTACAGATGTGCAGAGGCAAAGGGCCAGAAGTAGAGGGCGGAGTGGATGAAGCCTGGGGTGCTGTCGCCAGGGCTCCGGCCTGGACCTGGACGGTGGGGACGGTGGGGACAGGGGGTGCTGCGGCCGCCGCTGTGGGCTGCAGTGGGTCCTGTGCTGGAAGCAAGTCCCCGCTGAGGTGGGGCGGAGGGGCGGGGGCCGCCCAGGAGTCCCTCCTTTGCAAACCGCCAGCCAGCGGGGAGGAAAGCCGGGCCTCAGGGGGTCTCCTGCTCCTGGGATGCGAACGGGTGGTCTCTCCCTAAGCAGCTGTGGCACCTCGGGGTTTCGAACGGAGCCACTTGCAAATGGGACCCCGGGAGCTGGAGGTCACGGGGTCAGAGTCTGTTCCTGGACTGCAGGGTGGGGGCACAGAAAGCCTGTGGGGGGGGCGGGAAGCCAGACGGGAGGGGAGGGGCCCAGATGGGGGGGTTCTGACCCCGTGCTGGTGAAGGCCCATGTTACAGGCGAGGGACCCACGAGGGAGGGGCCGGACCGGCCCTCTGCCACCCTCCAGCCTCAGGCGGACACACACCGCCAGGGCTTCAGGGGGGGCCTCTTGCTCCCCCCCTTCCCGCCCCTCCCCCGCCCCCGGAACTCCTGCCAGAGAACCTGCAGACTCCCTGGGGAGCGAGGCTTTCTGGGGGCACAAGGCCCCAGCTTGCGGCTGGGTCTGCTCAGGCAGCAGGAGCCGGGTGGGGGGGCGTCCCGGGGGTGAGGGGCCCCTTTCCTGCGGGACCCCGGGCGGGAGACAGGGGTCCCAGTGGCGGGGAGCCAGGCCCGCCTGCTGGAGTCCCCCGCGGCTGTCCCTGTTGACCCCCAGTACGGGCTCCGGTCAGGCGGGGGGCGAGCAGGTGCCCGGCTGACTGTTCGCGTGTGCGGAGCCGGTCTGGGGCGCACTCTCGGGTCTGCGCGCTGTCCCAGCCGCCCAGGTGCGGGCACCCCTGTCGGCCTCATGGGAAGGGGGTGGGGGGTGGCCCCTCATCCCAGGGACGCCCTCGCGGGACTGGGGCTGGCACCCGGCCCGCCGCTCTGAAAGGCCCGCGTTTCCACGCCAGCAGGGCCGTGACAACCACCGCCCGAAACGCCGCCGCCGCTGCCGGCGGAGTCGGCTTCTCTCAGCGCCCGGGGCGGTGCCGCCGGCGAGCTCGGGCAGCGACCGTGACGCCTGCTCTCGGCTGGGTCCCTGTCTCCGCAGAACACGGGACCCCTCGGGACAGCGCTGGGCACACTCGGGGGCTGTGTTCCGCGAACGCCCCGTAGCAGGGACCGCTGCGGCTCCGGGAGGAGTGCCCCCGCCCGGCGTCCCCCACCTGGTGTCCCCGGCGCCCACTCGGCTGCCCCGGCTGGGTGGGAGGGAGGGAGGGAGGAGGCCAGTGAGGGCGGGTGGGTGGCTGCCGCGAGGAGCTGTCAGTGTCACCTAGGGGATGTCTGATGGCCGTGATGGTGACCCCTAGGCATTTAAAAAGAGTTATGTTGATTAAAAAGAAAGAAGGCAGTGGCCTGGAAATAATGTATTTTGTTCCAAATGGGCTCAATAATGAAAAATGCATGTTTCAGGGGCCCCGTCAGTGGTCACGGACCCCCCCGCCCCGTGGACTGGCCCCCAGCTGTGCAGGGGGGACGTGCTCCTCAGGGCCCCCCGCCCCAGGGGGCGGACCTCTCTCTGCTGGACGCCCCGGTCTCCAGGGTGGGGGTGAGCGGCGGGCTCTCCCCGGCCTCCAGCCCAGCAGCCTTGTAGGAGCTGCGCCTTCTTCTGACTGGCAGTGTGTGGGGGGCGCAACGGGACTGGCTGCTCCCCAGCCTCCCACGAGGCAGCATTGTCTCCTTCCTGTCTGGGCTCTGAGGCTCCCGGGGCCGGACCAGCTGCCCTGTCGTCCCAGGGCCGGTGGGCCTGGGTCGGCCGGGGCCCAGGGGTGAGGACCGAGCCTGGGCCTGGGCCCGCAGAGGGTGAGCGCCCCCCCAGGTTCTAGGGGCTCCAGTCTGCAGGTGGGCGTGGGGTCCGGTCGGAACCCAGGTCCCTGTGCGGTGCTGGGTCTTCTTCCCGAGATCGGGGGTCTCCAGGGCCCTCCCACCCGCCCCCCACCCCGCTCCGGGCACGCAGGCCAGCCTCGGGAGCCGCAGCAGCCGCAGCTGGCCAGGGCTCCGGCCACAGCTGCTTCCTGGAGGCGGCCCGTGCCTCTCTGTAAGGCCCCTTCCTTCCTCCCCAGGCGCTAATCCTGGCCCTGACGCTGGCATGCGGTCGTGGCCTGCCTTCCTCTTCCTCTTCTCCCCGGAGAGAGGACAGCGCCCCACAGCCCTCCGCAGCGGCCTGGCGCTCGGGGCTGGAAGGGCTCCTCCCAGCTTCCCGGGCGGGCGCACCACGGGCGTCCCTCCGGCGGGACAGCGCAGGGGCCACACCTCCCCGCCTCGAGTCTCAGCGCCCGTGGGTGTGGGTGCCCTGAGGCGGGTCACGAGTGATGGGACCCGGCCCGTGAGGCCTGGGGGACGGGAGAGTGGCCCGGGTCCAGGGTGACAGAGAGAGGCAGGTGGTCCCGAAACGTGGCTGAGGCGCAGGCTGTCCTGGCCCCGGGGGGCCTGGGGGGCCACTCCCCCACTGCCCTGGACACGCCTGCCTGTGGGGTGTCCTCACACTCTCCGCGGCCCTGGGCACGGGAGCAGGCCGGCAGCTGGCTGTGCGTCGCCCGGGGGCCGGGCCGGGCCGTTCGCCGGGGCGCACACACATTCCTGCCGGAGCCCGGGGACAGAAAGGCCCATTGACCGGGCCCTGGCACTCTCCCCGCGTGTAATCCATCCCCTCGCCGGGCTCCTGCGCGCCCAGCCCTCACCAGGGCGATGCTGGACCCAGATCAAAGGTGCCCGTCAGGCAGCAGCTGGGAGGGAACAGGGGGCTCCAGGGGCCGCAGACCTGGGGGAGGGCCTCCCTCGGTCGCCCCGCCTGTCCCCGAGGCCCCCCACCTGCACCGGGGGCGGGGGGTGGAGGGCGGGGGGAGACAGGGACTCACACCAGTGCTCCCCGCGGGCTGCGGTCCTGTGTGACGCGGTGCTGGGCGGGCCTGCAGCCCCGGGGCTCCTGTGTGCTGGGCTCCTGCTGGAGGGTCCCTGCTGTCCTGCCCGGTCCCCGCAGGCAGGCCTGCGAGGCAGCGGGGGAGGACCTGGGCGCCGTGGCCGCCGGGGTGTGATCCGGGACAGGCGTGTCCCCACTTCCGCTGCCCTGGGGGTGCCGGGGGGGGGGCCTCCGTCACCCGCGTGGCTCGGGGGCAGCGAAGATGCTCGGCTCACGGACCTGCCTTTGCTGCTGGGCTGTTCTCCGACGAGTGTCCCCTGGGGGGGGTTGTCACCGAGAGGCGCGAGCTGTCGTCTCGGGAAAGGCAGAGGAACGCCCAGGACGCGGCCAGGCGTCCTGACCCCCCCCCCCCGCGTGGGGGGGCCGCGGTGTGCGACTCCGCGTCCTGCACGGCATTGAGTCCGCGGGGCAGTGAGAGCCATTCCCCGCCGTGCGCGGCTGCGCTCCCACCCCGGCGGCGGCGGCCCGGTGCCCCGTGC